TTTCGTGATCAGGGCGTCATGGAGCTTCAGAAAAATATTGGTTCGGAGGTTTGTGGAGGGGGGGATGCACGGTGGACCCTTCTAGCTCCCGGCCTAATATGGGTAAGAGCAATTGTGTCGTATCGCATATACAAAAAACCCGTATTTATTAGTAAGTATGTAATAAATTTCTAATAAACCATTGTTGCATCAAATAAAAAGTTTTTTGTTTCATTTTGTTCCATTGAAAAAAAAAATCGAAAAAAAAATCGAAATCTCATAATATCCAAAAAAAATCTGAAGAAACTAACGCAAGGTATGGGTAATTGTTATGAAATTATTTGGTTATGTATAGCGATGCCGTAGAAAAACAAAACAATGCCTCGTTACATTTTAGGCGACGGGACGGGAATCCTTAACAAAATATATCACATTTAGGCAAGATATTCACTTAAATACTGTATACTATATGAACTATTCGCCGTACACCAGTTATCAAAAACATTCCTATTCGCCGTACAATGTATTGCTATTCGCCGTACACTTCACCAATTTTAGTTATACCAATATCTAAAGAAAGAAGCATAATATAGAGCGACTCCATGTATTATCATGACTATATAACTATAAGAAATCATCTTAGCATATAATGTATATAATCTACTGGCAAATATCAAGTCAAGACAATATTTGCTGTTGAGAATGAAGATTTAGCGGTACTATAGGCAGACTGTTTTTGTAAATAATTTGCAACTACACCGAAACAATTACATGCCTCCTGTTTCACATATGAATTACGTCTATGCTTGACTGTCATGCTTCTTTATTTGTCTCGACAATACCAGAAAATACAAGAAATATAAAAAAAATTAGCGTGATTTGACTACGTCCAGCTTCCATGCCCGCTTCGGTACTAGCTATATCCGGTGTCAGTCCTACACAGTGATTATGATACCAGAGTGAGTATTTATGATGTCATAGACGTTATGCTAACTATGACATTATATAATAGCAAGGTATAATGTGATAGTACATAGTACATGTATGATGCACTCAATTACATGCACAGAGACGCAAAGTACCATATTCAACACAAAATGCAACTTTATTGAAGAAAACGTGGAATTATGGGACTTTTCATTTTCAACATTACTTCCCTTTGTTACTTGTTTGAGAGGAAAATGGATCAAAATATACCTTTCAGAGTTTCAGGGAATACACAGTAACCTGACAGGTCGTTTTGTTCATCGTATAATTTTTTAGACATTTATGGGGGTTTTTTTTAACTTAAAATTATCAACCTTTCCATATAATGTAGCAGACCACAGTATCTGGGCCTGGCCATGAATTTTATACAATGTATAAATGTATAAAAAAAAAATCAAAAAAAATCACTCAAATTGGTATTTGTCATTTTGAAGTGAACAGTGCAAGGCTGTATATTTTTCATAATATAAAATTTGTATTTGGTTCGAGATTTCAATTTGGTCAGTCTGTAAACTGCTCCAACAAAACCTCCAACACATGCGAAGTTTGCGAAAAAAATAATGTTGGGCGTATGCTGAATTGTGACCGAGTATTTTGGTTACCATGAAAGTGATGTTTAATTTAAGACATGTTTTAGGAGAAAAATTCCTTTCTGTGAGGGTCAATGTTAAGGCTAAAAATAACAATTTTCTGCATTTTTTTATTTTATTTAAAATTTTGGTCTGTTATCGATGGTTTTTACAATTTAAGTCTTAAATACGAGAACACCTTTTTACACAATTTTCACTTCTGTATTACAATTGCAATTGTGATGTACTAGTTTATAAATTATTTTTATACGTGTACATGCATGCAAGTATCTTCAGGCTCGGCAAAAGCACTCGTCCGCTCGTCTTGAGGAGCAGATTTTGCTGACAGACGAGTGATTTTTATTTGATGATATGATGAGGATGTGGGGCTGGGTTGCTAAGGAAATTCGCCATCTTGGATCCGCCATCTTGTTTGTTGCTAGCAACAAACAAGATGGTGGAGGATCTAAGATGGCGGATTTCCATAGCAACCCAGTGAATCTACGGCCCCACATCCACATTGCCTCATCATGTGTGTTTTGATTGTGACGTCATCAATTTTGCCCAACACTTCTGAGAGGAAAAAAGAAACAGGAAAAAAGAAGAACATTGCATTTCAGTGTACAGATACTCAATAAAAAAAGTAGACACAGCCTCTCTTCTTCTGATTCTTTCTTTTCTATTCTGGTAGCTTGTTTGCAATCATGTCGACGTGAAAATGAGGGGCTCTGTTCTCGACTATACGAAAGCCCTTCAAGTGCACGCCGATATGGGTTTTCTTTACAATATAATATAATTATTTATTTACAATATAATATAATTCTTTATTTACAAGTTGTTGCTTAAATAAGCTAGCGTATTAAAAAAATATGAATGCCTTTTCAAAAGAAAAAATAATGTTGATCTTCCTAGCTCATCAATGCTAACAGGAAATGCTGTTGCGTGTTTTGAACTGAAAGAAATAGGAGGGACTGACATATGGACATAGATGGAGGGACTGACATGGACATAGATGGAGGGACTGACATATTGACATGGATGGAAGGACTGACATATGGACATAGATGGAAGGACTGACATATGGACATGGATGGAAGGACTGACATATGGACATAGATGGAAGGACTGACATGAACATGGATGGAAGGACTGACATTTGGACATAGATGGAGGGACTGACATATGGACATATAGATGGAATACAAACGAATACTGAATACTGGCCGCTTGCACGTCGTTGTCTATGCATTCTTTGGCGATGCTGTTTCCTAATGCGCTCCTTGTCGTTTGATATGTTTTGTCGTTCCTTCCTGTACAAGTCTGCTTGCCGTTGTATTAATTGGTGTTGGCGGAGGAAGTCGGATAGACTGTAGAAAACTGTCGTCTGAACTTGTCAGAATCGTACGGGAAGCTTTAGATGACGTCACGGTCATCGAACGTGACGTCACTATCATCGATCGATATCCACTCTTAACACAGGCTTCTATGTAAAATTAAAAGAATATTTGAAGACGGAGGGGTCAATTTCAGTTTTGATGGGTCAATGGCGCCTCTAGGATTATTCCTGGGAAGCATAAACGAAAATATCTGGGGGGTTTCCACGAAAACGAAAGTTAAGATATTTCTATTTATAAGCATATTGCATGTATAAGTATTCATCTTTTTTGTAAGACATCTATCATGTCTTGTAAAGGGTTGTTTCAAGGATTCCATACTGTAAATGCACTGGTCATAGCCGAAGATAGCTCCTTGCAAGCTGTTAGACAACCCTGTCAATTGCCGGTAAACTTGTAGCTGAAGTTACAATTTCTAGCTATTCTATAGCTTTAAAACAGTTACGATTCAAGGAATAGTTAGAATTGTCATGAAATACGTTTTAAAGTAAAGAAAATACCTGATAATCGTTGCTATTCGTAGACTGAACCGTCCTTCAAAGCCTGGTGTCGTGTCAACAATCCGTTAGTGTGACGTCATAACCGATACACAAACTACAACCCTCCTACACATCATTTCATACATGTTTGTGTATTGCGTGTGACGTCATCAATTTCGCATTACCAATTCCAGTTTCGACTCAGCTCACTCAACCGACACAACAGTTATTTTCTGATGAAATCAAAAGGAGAGGTAGAACAAGAAGGAAACGTCGAACAGGAAGGAGAAGGAGAAGGCGACAGCCAAATGATAGACAACAGCGTGAGTACTAAAACTGACACACTTGTACAGGAATCCAAAGCCCATACAAAACCAAAATTACCTACTAAACGAAGGGGACTACCCACACTGTGCGAGTCCGTACAAGTCTACAGGCTGGGAAAAGACTGTTTTTGTAAAGTTTTCCTTATTCCTCACACTGCTGCTCTGATAAAGGAATTTACTTTTATGAATCTCACACCTGCTGCTATATTACGCATAAAATCACTGGACAGCATCATACGCGAGGCCATACAAAGTTTCACCGAGGGAAAAGATGTAAACTTGTTTAGTCACATTGGAGATAACATTATATTCTAATTCGCTTCCCTCAAACGAACATAAATTATTTATCATATAAAACTCCAACTCTTTACCGGGAGTTCGTCCGCCTAGCAACGAGGACGTACATATTTATTCAGGTAAAATTACATGGAAATCGGAAAATGGATCCGTAATCCCAGTGCTGTGCGGGAATTGCTGGCCACTTCGTCTTGTCCTTCATGCTCCAAAATAGCTGTACACAAATCAGGTTGTTTCATTCCCCATGTGAAAGGATTGCTGGAAATATAATGTAACAGCCACCCAAAAACTGAACAAGTACTAACAAGAATGGGCGGGTGGGCGGGAAGTCCGGACTGATCAACAGCTAGGCGAACACAGACACCTGTACGTGTCGCTACTGTCCCAAGCATACCTGTCCCACGTGCACTAGTAGCTGCACGTGCGAGACAAGACACGGACATCCCGTCCACTCGTTTACATAACAATGATAAATATATTTATATTCTAATTCGCTTCCCTCAAACGAACATAAATTATTTATCATATAAAACTCCAACTCTTTACCGGGAGTTCGTCCGCCTAGCAACGAGGACGTACAGAAAACAAAGAACGGGCAAAATCAGATTAATAAATTTAATTAATTTAACAAATCGTTTCGAGACAACAATGATGCAACATCATTACAAAATAACATTACAACCCTAGATTTTTTGATACTGATAGCTTAGACTCAAGCTTGTCCTTAACGTAACCATCTTTAGCGGTTTCTGATCTCCAGCGACCATGAGCTTAAAATAATCGATCGGGTACTCCCGCGTTAGCAGCCTGCCATTTCCTGTACCGTCTGAGATAAAGAGAACTAGTAGAAGCTGCTCTTGATTTAAGCACAAAATCGTGAAGATCAGAAGCCAAGTGGCGCAGACTAACATCTTGTATAGAAAGACGTTCTTTCCAAATACCAACAGAGAACATATCTGTACCTGTAAACAGTACAAACAAAAACTCGATAGAGAAAATGCATTTAAAATATCATTTGAATGTTCAAACAGAAAGAGAAAAATGACTATATTAACAGGTACAACAATAGACATATATATATCTAGATGAAATGTTTTCAATAATACTGATGCCGGAATACGTACAATGTCGCTATATAAACATCTGTACACCATAGGCCAAGTGACCTTTACAATGACATTCGGTACATGATGTAGCTTACGTATAGACCACGTGGTCTCTATTATACATGTAAATGATACCAAAAACATCTGTTTTGCCAAGTGGCAATATACAATTAGGTCAAGTGGCCTTATATAATGTTGCGAAAACTTACATGATGTCAAAACATCTCTTTTAGCCAAGTGGCGATATACAATTAGGCCAAGTGGCCTTATATACAAATGTAATGCTACGAAAACCTCAAGTCGGTCTCAGTCAAGTAATAACAATGAATTGCACTAAAACACACGTGACATTGAAATGTACGCATGACTTAACATATTTACAACTCAGTCTCACGCATGTGTGAGTAAGTGGGCGTGTATTACATCAGCCAATCGAAGTCCGTAAGCTGAATGCGCACTCGCATAACATGTAAATAAAACCACGTGGCGCTCATTATACACCACTATACAAATCCCATTCCTCCTCCAAAACTTGACAAGGGGCCTAATAACCTTCGTGAAAATATAAGGGGCTGATGAAAGTCCAAAAGGTAGCACCGTAAAACAGAAGTATCTAACTCTACCGTTCAAACACCAAGAAAATCCTAAGAATTTGTGGTGAGAAGGATGAATGTCAATATGATGATACCCTGATTTTAGGTCAAACTTAAACTTTTTCCTTCCACACATGTAAATTAACTTCTCGTAAATCTAAAATTAGACGTTTTTTGCCAGTAGAACCAACCGAAACTGATAATGGATTCACTACAAAGGGAATGGTATTCATTTCAACAACGCTTCCTACTTCTAAAAGCTCTAGAATAGCTTTAGATACGAATTCTGAATGTTTAAATGCAGATTTATTATTAAAATTAAATTTGTTAGGCGGAGTAGATATAAATGGAATCAAATAACCCTCCGACAGAACATTCAAAATATAATCGTTGGCTTCTATAGTATTTCTCCAAAAATCAACACACCTTTTCAATCGGCCTTTGACCCCAGTATCGTTAAAATGTTTTTCAGATATTTCATAATTTTCCTCAAAGACACCAATTTCAAAAGTATCATCAGAGTACTTAACTTCATTTTCCGGCTGAATCCGACAGTTTTGGGCAGTTCGTTCTCCAGTGACCGACTCCTCCGCAGGCGTGGCACAAATCATTGGGGCCGGGAGTCCCACGGCCCCTCCCGCCGAATTGAGGCCAGAATCCTCCTCGTTGAAAACGACCTGAGGCCGGGCGCTGCTGCTGCCACTGGTGATAAAATCCACGAAAAGAATCATGAGTGTTGCCAGCACCAGGCATGTACTGGGGCCCGTGCTGTCTCCCGGGGGGTCCCCCTGCAGCCGCTGGGGTCGATTTTTTCGTGGAACGTTTCTTCCGCTGAGCCCTGAATTCAGCCTGACGAATTTTCTTTTCATCCTCTGAGTCACTGGCGAGCTCATCACTTTGGTACTCATTCACGGTATCCCAGCCACACACTGACTTGTCTGCAATACGTATCAGCTTATTACGTTTCTCAAGCAGAGTACGGATGTTACGTAAACTGTCCCTAGTTGAGGAGGAATCACCCTTCACCACAGCTTTCTCAGCCAATTCTACTTCTTCAAGGACTTCGGAATTGAAATCAAACTGTTTTTTATTTCCATTGAATTTAAATTTCACTTCTCTTTCTTTTTTCAAACGTTTGAAGGAGTTAGCGGACAAGTCATGTTCCTCCCTTATATCGTCCCGTAGACCTTTCAATTTTGCGTCAAGGTAGGTAGTAAATAAGTCCAAAGCCTGGAAGGCGTCGTTATTAGAACTAACTGGTTTTGGGGCCGGAACACTATCCGTAGGACCAATACTATCCCCCTCGGTATTTAACTCGGTCATATCAGCGATAACAAGTACGTCCGGACTGATCGACAGCTAGGCGAACACAGACACCTGTACGTGTCGCTACTGTCCCAAGCATACCTGTCCCACGTGCACTAGTAGCTGCACGTGCGAGACAAGACACGGACATCCCGTCCACTCGTTTACATAACAATGATAAATATATTTTACGTTACGGTACATAAGCCCTACACGTGTGTAGACATTAGGAAGTTTCACGGCAGTAGCTACAGTGACAATGTTGTACCGAGCAAACACGGTATATGCATAACTTTCTGGGAATACTATCAGCTGGCCACCCTTTTGAAGAAGTTTTGAACATGTGGAGACATTTGATCAAACGCTACAGGAACTGGTGTTTTCGTAGGACAGTGCGTGCAAATCCATATTGGAACCACATGATATTAAATGTTAACAGTGAACTTGATTATTTAAACTTAGTGTTTCACATGTTCAGTGATAACAAAATTACACATTACAGAGTTAAAGTACTGCTATTATTAGCAAAGACTTGAGTAACAGATTGAACGACCCTATGTACATCAACAAATTTCATAAATTATTTCCTACGTTTGAATTGAGTGATTGCTAACATTAATTTCAAAATAAAACACTTATAGTTAGTAAATACCAAAAGCTTTTGTTATTGGTTAATCTATAAAGGTGTTTATACACTACACTGAGCAACGACACATCCCGTATCAGCTAAAGATGTAGACATTGCTCAGGGATACGTGAAAATCGGGTTTCCATTGGACAAATGTGGACAAATATGGACAAATAGTGTACAAGTAGTGGACAAATAGTGTATAAGTAGTGGACAAATAGTGGACAAATATGGACAGGACAAATATGGTCCAATAGTCGACAAAGGTTGACAAATGTCTATTTTTACGTTAAAATATCATTCAATTCATTTCATAAGATAAAATACTTAACTTGTAAGGAAAAATAACACTTTTTAATGTTTTTTTCTCAGTAATGTTTTTATTGTATGAAAAAAATAGACCAAAATCATTTACGGTAGAAGGGAAGTAACTCTTATATTCGGTTATGACGTCACACTAACGGATTGTTGACACGTCACCAGGCTTTGAAGGACGGTTCAGTCTACGAATAGCAACGATTATCAGGTACTTTCTTTACTTTAAAACGTATTTCATGACAATTCTAACTATTTCTTGAATCGTAACTGTTTTAAAACTATAGAATAGCTAGAAATTGTTAAGTAACTTCAGCTACAAGTTTTTACCGACAATTGACAGGGTTGTCTAACACTGAGCTTGCAAGGAGTTATCTTCGGCTATGACCAGTCCAGTGCATTTACAGTATGGAATCCTTGACACAACCCTTTACAATACATGATAGATGTCTTACAAAAAAGATTAATACTTATACATGGAATATGCTTATAAATAGAAATATCTAAACTTTCGATTTCGTGGAAAACCCCCAGAAATTTTCGTTTATGCTTCCCAGGGATAATCCTGGAGGGGCTATTGACCCCTCAAAACTGAAATTGACCCCTCCGTCTTCTAATATTCTTTTGATTTTACATAGAAGCCTGAGGTAAGAGTGGATATCGATCGATGATAGTGACGTCACGTTCGACGACCGTGACGTCATCTAAAGCTTCCCGTACGATTCTGACAAGTTCAGACGACACACTTTTCTACAGTCTATCCGACTTCCTCCGCCAACACCAATTAATACAACGGCAAGCAGACATGTACAGAGAGGAACGACAAAACATATCAAACGAAAAGGAGCGCATTAGGAAACAACATCGCCAAAGAATGCATAGACAACGACGTACAAGCGGCCAGTATTCAATATTCGTTTGTATTCCTTCTATATGTCCATATGTCAGTCCCTCCATCTATATGTCCATATGTCAGTCCCTCCATCTATGTCCAAATGTCAGTCCTTCCATCTATGTCCATATGTCAGTCTTTCCATTTATGTCCATATGTCTGTCCTTTCATCTATGTTCATGTCAGTCCTTCCATCTGTCCATATGTCAGTCCTTCCATCTATGTCCATATGTCAGTCCTTCCATTCATGTCCATATGTCTGTCCTTCCATCTATGTCCATATGTCAGTCCCTCCATCCATGTCAATATGTCAGTCCCTCCATCTATGTCCATGTCAGTCCCTCCATCTATGTCCATATGTCAGTCCTTCCTATTTCCTTCAGTTCAAACCACGCAACAGCATTTCTGTACCTGTTAGCATTGATGAGCTAGGAAGATCAACATTATTTTTTCTTTGAGAAAAGGCATTCATATTTTTTTAATACGCTAGCTTATTTAAGCAACAACTTGTAAATAAAGAATTATATTATATTGTAAGAATTATATTATATTGTAAAATAAACCCATATCGGCGTGCACTTGAAGGGCTTTCGTATTGTCGAGAACAGAGCCCCTCATTTTCATGTCGACATGATTGCAAACAAGCTACCAGAATAGAAAAGAAAGAACCAGAAGAAGAGAGGCTGTGTCTACTTTTTTTTATTGAGTATCTGTACACTGAAATGCAATGTCCTTCTTTTTTCCTGTTTCTTTTTTTCCTCTCAGAAGTGTTGGTCACCTGTAGTGCAGTCTAAAAACAAGTACGGACCTCCTGGAGCGTATACCTAAAAACCAGAAGGGAGAGTGTTAATACAGATACAATGGCAGTAAGCCTGTGAGTACCTCAAAATTGATGACGTCACAATCAAAACGCACATGATGAGGCGATGTGGATATGGGGCCGTAGGTTCACTGGGTTGCTATGAAATCCGCCATCTTGGATCCTCCACCATCTTGTTTGTTGCTAGCAACTAGTCTGTCGGACGAGTAGATTTTATCAATTTATATGTTCTTGGGTTACGATATATAACGTTAGTGCAGGCAAATTCGCCATGCACCCAAATTCGCCACCCTGTGACGAAAATGCCATATGACGTCATAATACATAAAATGTGACGTAAATAACGTCACCATAGTATTCAACATAGTTAAAGCCTTCAAATATTTTGACAAGAAGAGGTATAAGAAGGGAAAAGCTATACTTTTAATCAAAACAGTTATGAAATATCTTGTAACACAACGAAACTTAAAAATTTGGTCTGTGCGACGGACATCTCGTCAACTAAACTCATTAATCTGAGGCCAGTTGGTTGTTATTTAGTGTAAATTTATTACATACACATGAAAATACCCATATCTTAACGCTAATTGCAGTTAATGCAAGTAAATTGTTTTTCTACAAGTGTACTTTGGTACATGTACAATGTACTGACGATCCACTGCGTGTTTATGGAAATGACGATCGGAAAGATTCGCGAGTTGATAATTCGTCAGTTTCCATTTTCATGCAATGTGTTTTTAGAATACAATCAACCAGTATCTTTTTAAAAGTATTGTTTGCGTCTTACATTCAACAATCTTACAACACTTAAATTAAAATACCATCTAGAAATTTTCTAGATTTATATCTGAAAGGAATTAGTTGTCGGCCTGAAAGTACTGCTGTACAATCGCATGCTGATTGTACGTAGAGACCGACATTTACCAAAGACTGAGTTTTACATGAAAAAGTAAGTACATTTACAACACCTGGCCGGGCAGTCTTTGTTGAATAAGTTTTCAAGCCCAAGAAAATCGTTTTTATTTGTCAGATGTTTCCCGTTGACGTGCAAGACTATCGGATACGTACATATGTGACAAATTATCAAAAAAGACGGGGGGCGATCGTTGAAAGCCCTGGACCCTCTCATCCTGACCCGATAAAAAATATAATATTGGGCAGCGATTTGGAAGTTTATATTTGTTAAGGACAGAGTCTTTATTGCGTATCATGTAAATTGACATCATCTCAGCCGATACCCGTCATCTTTCTCAAACAACATTAGTCAGTTTCTTCAAGTTACCGAAAACTAACTATCACAACTAAGAAAAGCCATGTATTTCAATGTTAATCATTGTTACAAACACACATTTGGAGCTGTTCGTATTAGTACGGCTTGTGTAACATAAACATACAACATTTTACATTTAAACACTTAGATCACTTGTAAATTAGTTAAATGTTTGAAGGTTGCGAAACTGCCTGCACCTTTGAGCAAAACCACGGAAGGCCTGATGACGTCACAAATGTTGCTGCGTGACGTCATGCAGGCGTGTTTACAACAGGCATTTCAGTCGAATCTTCTTCTGTATTGGTGCTCGTCGGCATTTTGATACATGCCTATTTGGTCGAATTATTAACAGAAACCCTATCTAATGTGACGAATTTGCCTTCACTGACATTATGATTTCATAAAGTTATTTTATGTTTCTAATTCACTTGAGTAAATTATACAATTAGTCTGATAATTGAATTAAAAAATAACTTTGAAAATGTATATATACTTTTCACTGTGGTCAAACGGCACTGTATAGGTTCTGGAAATAGCGATCGCCGAAGCGAGGCAGATTTTTGAAGACCACGGCATGCTTGTGATCATGGTCATGTTTTCGGTATAGTATCAATAGATCAACCTGCGTTACGAACTTGAAATATTCCAGAAATGAAACTAAAAAGCACATTAAAATATATAGAATCACAGATTATGTCAATAATTAAATTACAGATCTCCTTTGACACATGGTTTATGTATTTTTTCTTAATTCAATGATTTATAAATTCAAAACACACATCAACGAAAGCATTTGTGTTTTTAAACATAAAATAAACAATGATTGTAAATAGCACCTTTGGACATGCTACTGTATGGATAATAGCGACCAGACTGTATGTTAATAGCGCCTGCGGCTTTATATTACTGTATGGTTTATTGCATTGCATTATTACATTTTGCCTGTTGGTGGAATAAACGGTTTATCTCACACAGATAATTTCGAGTGCAGTTACTGCCAAAACAGCTTTATAGAGTTTAGTAAAATAATTGAACATTGCATGCAAGACCACCGGAACTTAGGAAGACAGTTACACAAACGAAGAATTTTCTTCTAGTTCCAGAAGAAATAAGTCTCCTATGTTAATGCAGATGTGTACAAAGAATTTATTCACTTTCATGTTCCCTGTTTAGAAAAATATCAAAAAAGTTATGAACACAACAGGGACCTGATAATTTGTTACAGCTATATTTAGAACTAAACTAAGGTGTTCAGAGT